AGATGTAGAGATTAGAGTTTTGTCTGTAGTGTATCTGTAAAGGAAGGCTTATCAGCCCCGCCCACGAACACTTTATTTTTGTATCTATTATTAGTTACGTCATATCCTTAACGTTTCACTTAGTTACAACACGTCTCAATTCCACTTAGCGTTAGTATTAGTGTATGAAGTCGACGAGAACACATCTATTCGTGATCAAAGAGTTTAGAGTAGTTTTTTAGTTATCTTTGTTGGAGCAATAACCTATATCTTAACCTCGGCAAGCGGGACTGTTATTTTACGACAAGTTCTTGGATTGTAATAAACTTCAATTCGTCGTCAAGTGCTGTCCGTAAAATTATTCCCGAAATCTCCTCAATTACTCGTAAGCCCGTTCACGCGCGATAAAGTCGTCGTATTATTCGTCCGTGTCGGCATTTACAGTAAAATAACAYCGTCAAATATTGCTGAGATTACAGAATCGAAAAGAGGTTAGTTATCTCCAAAATGAGCGACAGTGAGTCACAAAAAGAAACTGTTTCGAAACTCATTGATCTTGGTGATGTTGAGATTTCACTTGTAGAGAAGGAATCGACTTCAGAATCTCGGAATTCGGATGGGCGTACAACCTGTAAAACCGCACCTTCACCACCAAAACCACGTGACAGGAAATTGACTGAGAAAGGAAAAGTATACCTTRTCGATACTCTCAACCAAAAACGACAAAATGCCGCCCGCAATCTATCAAAAGAGATCAAGGCCACCTATCACTCAATTAGCGACGTGACTGTTGACCTTAGAGCACTCGAGGCGCAGAGAGACAGGCTAGATCTACTGAAGGAAGAGCTAGATCAAGCTCATTTYTGTCTTCATTCCAAAATTGMAGAAGATGAACAAAAACRAGCCGCTTACTCGTGGTTCGATGTTCGCGACCTAGAATATAATCAATGTCGCATTAAATTAGCAGAGAAAATAAGATCTCTAGAAGAGAGACACATATTAGACAATCGATCTAGTTATAGTCGATCCTCAAAACGAAGTGACAACACGTCTAGATCGTCAGGCTCAGCACGCTGTTTGTTAATGCAGGCCGCGGCAAAGGAAGCTAGAATTAAGGCCGAAATCGAAAACTTGGAAAGGGAAAAGCAAGCAAGGGCTTTGGAGCTAGAAAGAGAAATTTCAATCGTTAAAGCCGAGAATTTGGCAATGAAAATGGTAATCGATGAKCAAAACGCTCTTTGTGATGACGTCACGCAATTCGKGAAAGACGGCTTTCAACTTCCGGAAGAGAAAACGGAACGAGATTATGAACACCGCACAAATAACAGGCAAGCACACAAGCCAATCCCTACTCCACGGATCAAAAGGGAAATACCTGATCCCACGGAACAAGAAAGGAATTATAATAGCATCGGCAGCGAAACATTAAAACAAATAGTTTCATTGCAGACAAAACAAACGGAACTGAGCGCTTTGTTAATAAACCAGCAAACAATAAGTCACCTACCGACAAAGGAGCCTCCAACTTTCGACGGCAATCCTTTCGATTATCCAGGCTTTGTCACGGCATTTGACACAATTATTTCCACTAAAGTTACATCTGACATGGACCGACTTTACTACCTGGAGAAGTACACTAAAGGCAAGGCCAATGACGTAATAAAAGGGTTCCTTTCGCTAACAAGTGAGAACTCATATAAAGAAGCACGCAAGCTTTTAGATGAACGTTTCGGTAATCCGATCCACGTYGCTGAAGCCTATAWATCACGCATGCGCAACTGGCCAAACATCCCAGACGGCAACAGCAACGCACTCCAGGAATTCGCAGACTTCCTTACTCGCTGTACAGAAGCAGTGCGCATAGTAGGATCTCTTGCCGAGCTAGATAGTACGCAAACTCTTATAAGATTAAGTGCAAAGCTTCCGTCGTACTGTGGTACTAAATGGTGTCGTCACGCATATGACATTCAGTCAAAATTACAAWGAGTATCATTCACTGACTTTGTACGATATGTTAAGGCAGAAGCTGAATTGGCGAACGATCCGATCTTTTCACCCGACGCCTTAAGACGAGAACGAAAAAGGAATGCAGATAGAGAATCTAGGCCCAAGCAAAGAAGGGAACTACCCTCTCGCCCTCTCTCAAGCAGTTTCGCAACAACCACATCATCAAGTCAACAAAGGAGTACATCCTCATGCCCAGCGTGCGACAAAGGCCACTCCCTGGAAAGATGCGAGTCGTTCAAAGGTATGTCCGAAGTTGAAAAAAGGAACGTCATCATATCGAAGGCACTTTGCTTTGGATGTCTAAAGCCTGGACATTTGTCGTCTTCTTGCAAGAACAGACTGCAATGTGACGAGTGCGGAARGCCACACCCGACCCCACTACATGGTGTCAAGCCAAAACCAAAGCCTAGACCCAGACGCAAGGTGAACAACATCGCGGCAACGACCACTGAAAATGATTCATCCGAACCAGCTGGAGAAGAGGCGAACACAAACGCAAACGTCTGTGATCCTACGCCAGTTAGTGAAGGAACGACAACCTCCCTCATCGTGCCTATTGTGCTTAGTCATAGTAGTAATCCAGGAGTTGAAGTTAAGGTCTAYGCTCTCCTCGACGATGGTAGTGATTCCACATTTGTAAAGACATCTATCTTGAAGCAGTTAGAAGTCGACGGTCCTGAGATTACTCTACGACTGAATACAATGCACGGTAAGCAAGACATACCAGTCAAGAAAATCGAAGGTCTGATAGCAAAACCCTTTGACAACAATGGAAGTGCAATAGAGTTGCCCAAGGCATATACGAGAGAGTCCATACCATCGTCCACCAACCAAATAGCTACCCCAGAGTCAGCGGACAATTGGCCGCACYTAAAGGCAATAAAACATCATCTTCTCCCCCTACAAAGAAACATGGAAGTAGGAGTATTGATCGGATGTAATTGTCCTAAGGCTCTGAAACCACGAGATGTCATTTTAGGAGGGGAGGATGATCCTTACGCAATCAAGACTCTGTTGGGATGGGGAGTACTAGGACCAGCAACCCCGGAGCTTCAACATACCTTGAAGGACGATACATTCACCTGTCATCACGTCGTCACTACAGCTAATGCATCCTCACGTCGAAGCGTCAAATTTGCTACGAAACCGCAAACTAAAGAAATACTCAACGCATGTGACATTAGAGCAATGTTTGAACTCGACTTTTGCGAGAGAGAGCAAACGAG